AGACAGGTAAACAGATATCAAATATGTCAAGCCTCCAAACTGTGTGTGCCTGCGAAATAGTAAAAAAAATAGTGAAAGTTGTGCTGTCAGCAAAAAGCTATGATACCCAAAATTAAATGTGGGCAACGTACGCTGAGTCGCTTACATTCACATTCACGCTTATTCTAGCATTGTGTTTGATTGGGGGATCGGTGTCCTCTATTGTTTTTTTAAAAATAGGATTTCCAGATTTTTTTTTTTTAACTGAGCTTTATTGTAGCACAAGTAGACTGGCAAGCCCCTCCTATTTGAGACTTTATAGAGACATCAGGCTTCTTCTAAGGTCTCCTTTGCACTCTGCATAAGAAGATCATGGACAGAGTACACTGGAGCTGCTCCTTTGGAAGCAACAGACAACTGAAATCTGACAGTTGTGAACCCAGAAGTGCTCAGAGCTGAGCACTTTAGTGCTGTGAGAGCACTGAACAGACGTTCCCCAATTTTCTCCTCGTTGTGCTGCTAAAGGGTAGTTTTTGCCAGTCTCAGGTTCGCCTGCTTTCTCTAAGAGACTAGTAACATGATGATGAGGGGATGGACTGGACAGGAGGATGCTACACTGACACTTTACAGCTGCTCAGATCACTTCTACATAAATTAGGGCTTATTTCCCTGCCTTTCATCTATATCAAAGTTGCCGCAAAATCTTCAGGTATCGGAGCATTTTCAATCATCAACCCTGCGTAAGCTCTGACAACACCTGCTGCAGAGCCTTCACAGGGTTGGGACTGCAGAGGAGAAAGTGAATATAAATGGATAGGGGGCTCTGTCACTTTAGCCTGCATAGGTCAAGTGATAGACACCTCACTGCGATGACCTTCCCATTTTATGTGAAATGAAGATTTGCCTTTATCCTGAGAAAAGCATTCTAGAAATAGCGATACCAAGCTTCAGCCAAAATCTCCTCCGTAAATCATGTAAAAGTTTCAAATCCAGAGAGAAAATGTCAGGAATCCACTTGCACAAGTATGAACCTCTATAATAAGTGTTGCACAACATGTTCGTATGCAGAACAAATACGCCAATCCCTTCCCTAAGCTCTGAAATATGTTTTTCATTTTGCTCGATAGCTTTGTTACAGCTTTTAAGCAATATCCAGCCTGTCTCTTTTTCTGTCTGAGCTGTAATCTTCCATTTTGAGCTGTGATTTTGCGTAGCCATCAACAGGCCACTGCGAAGCCAGAAAAAAGAAAGACAGCACCTTTTCCCCAAATACCTCCTTGATCTCTGGCATTCTGCATGCTGATCACACGCCTGAAATCTTTCCATTTTTAAAGGATGTGCAGTGCTAAGATTCACGCAGACACATTGGTGTCCAATATTGTCCCCACAGTGTGCCTCCTATGGACACGTTGAGGCTGATTTACTAAAAGAGTTCGGAATCTTCACTTCACACATTGTGTGAATTTTCACTTTAATCATGCAATCATGTGCAAAGCAAAGTCCTAATAACTTTGAATACTCAGTCATGTGCAGATGCTTCTTACATCATTGGAAAATTGAAGTGAATATTTACACAATTTTTTGATTGAAGATTCTCCCGTTGGAGGGTGGTTATTTTTGTTCCCCATGGTCCCTGGGTGTGTTGTAAAGTAGCCACCGCTCCAAGCTCGCTCCTGTGATGGAACTGGAACTGTTACCAGCTGTATAGACATTTCTAAGTGGCACATGAACTGGATGCCAATGGTACTGGATTTACAGCTACTGGTTCTGAAAGACACTGGTACTGGATAGCACTGTGGGGTGATGGACAGAAATAAAACGTCACAGAAGTCTCCAAAATATGCCTGAAGTCAAGTTTCATTCCTACTTCTACCCTTTTCATAATATAGAATGACTGAGGCATGGCAACTGAGTAGCAGCGATATATATTTTTCTGTTATAGTGACCCTGTCACCACTCACTCTATGCATTGCAGGTATAACAAACTCTGTAAAAAAAAAAATAGGCGCTGAGAAATCACTGCTGCTTCTTTTCTGCTGCTGATTGGTCCTTCCATTTTTTTGGGATGCTGCGTGGCTCTATTTTCTGCATTTCTGACACTTTCAGGTGTCAGAGGCTTTCTGTGCCCAACTGCATCACAAGAGTTACAGCTCTGGATTCGCTTCCATAACAACAAAGATGTATGCAAGAATTATGCATGCCAAATAAACCGCCAAATATCTCTACTGTGTCTCTCCGAAGCTGAATTGGGACTCTAGCCAAACCATTTTTTTTTAGTTTTGTGTAGAGAAGGAAAAGTTAAACCCTTTATCAGTTTATTTTTCGCTGTCTGTGTGCTGTTGGGGAGATTTTCCTTTATTTCCTGCTGCACAAATACAACAGTAATACGAGGAAAGCTCTACAAAGTGAAGGGAAATGCCCCTCTTAGACAGTTGTCACCAGAGTAGATGTCCCCATAGGAAGATTTATCCTCTCCTTCTGTTCTTGATGATAACTGCATCACTTGTGATTTTCCATAACTTCCTGGACAAATTGACATCCTTTAGTGATCCTTTCAAGAGACCTGTGTATACATAAATATGAAGCTGACCTCTCCTTCTGAAAAGTACTAACTGGCCTGCTATTAAATTGATATCAGCACTTAAAGCAGTGGTTCTCAACCTGTGTATCCTCAGGACCCACAATTGTCCTTGTTCTTAAGGTCACGACCCAAGTTGTACTGAAATGGAATGCACGGAATTAGGGTACACACTCCAAAAAATATTTTAGGTTCCACCCAGTCTCCCTTACTTACGAGAACTGGAGTAGATCCTCAGCCTGGGATTCAGTGTGGGCTGCTGTGCTGTGACTGAGCTCCATCCATATGTGCATTGCTGGCACAGCTCCCTTGCATTCCCTGTAGAGGTGCTGGGAGCCAGAATGTCACCCCGGTCCAGGCACCTCTACAGGACATGTGAGGTAGCTGAAAAGCAATGTATGTATGGATGAAGCTCCGTCACAGCACAACACCTCCATCGTGGCCATAGCCACCGTCTCATCCTACCTCAAGCTGAAACTCGGCACCGGGCAGCATATTTTGAATGGCTGCTTGGAGAGAGAACTGACAGTGCAGGGGGGGGCAGAGGAGCCTCTCACCTAGAAAAGTGGAAAGAATGTGGCGACCCACTGAACATGGGGTCGCGACCCGCTTTTGGGTCACGACCCACCAGTTGAGAACCAAGGCTTTAAAGGATATAAAATCTTGAAGTCTAAAATGTAAAAAGCAATGTGTGGTCCCTCCATAATTCCTACCAGACCCATATCCCAGATAGGACTCTGATATTAATTTGAAGAGGGGGGACCACACGCAAAAATATAAGAAAAAATGTGGGGTTCCACCTTCACATTAGGAGCCACCTTCAAATCAGAGCTCCCCCCTTTGGCATCACAGTCCCCCTTTACATCAGGAGCCCCCTGCTTTCACATCACAGTCACCCTCTCTCACAGTAGGAGCTCCTCTGTACATCAAACGCCCCCCTTCACTTCAGAGTCCTCCTTTTTTACGTAAGAAATGTAAACATTTTAAGGCACCCCCAAGGAAGCCAGGAGGCACCCCAGGGTGCAACAGCACCTTGGTTGAGAATGGCTGTTCTAAAGCATAGCTAAGGAGTTCTGACATCTTTGGCCACATTTGGTTCTGACTCAGGGGTTATCTTTATATGTCCCCTCCAGTCAAACATGAATATCTACAATTTAAGTTGATTAAGGGAAGGAAACCTTGCTGCTAACCAAATCTTTCAACTGGCCTCCTAGCTACTATAAATTCCTGTATTTGCAAATATCCATATTTTTGAAATGGCCATATATCTCAACCTACAGAAACGTAGGTAGGTGTCTTCTATGTTGCCAAAACCACCCTATTTAAGCCAAGATTAGCCCCAATACATGGCAGTGCCAGGTGAGACCTGCAAAGCAGTGCCATGTCATAAGTAGCTGCAACCTCAAATTAAAAGCAGTTTGAAAGGTGTAACACAGGGGTGCCCACAATTTGTCGTCTGGAGATCTACTTTTCAAATGACGAGTTTATTGAGATCTACCAATGAAAAAACACCTTTATTTAAAAAACAAGCACATTAAAATCATTATTGGGACGTCTGCCTCTCTCGCTCTCTCCCCTGTATCTCTCTCTCTCTCTCTCTCTCTCTCTCTGCGGGCCAGTTCACACTAGGCGGTGCATTGAAGTCAATGGCATCACAGCCATGCCCCCCCCCGCCCGCATTGCGATCACCCGCACCTGGAACGCAGGCACATCAGTGCCTGTGCTTGCCTGCATTCGGGTCCACTGTGATCTGCAAAAATGCTGCAAGCACTATTTTTGCAGATCTCACTGGACTGGAACGCAGGCACTAATGTACCTGCGTTTCGGGTGTGGGCGATCGCACTGTGGGCAATGGGCGTGGCTGCGGTGCCATTGACTTCAATGCACCGCCACGCCCCTGAACGCAGGGAACCGGCTGTCTTCCGTTCCAGTGCGTTCCAGAGGCCGAACGCTCTGGAACGCAAACTTTGTGGTGTGAACGTGCGCTCTTTCCTCGCTCTCGCCCCTTTCCCTCTCTGCTGTCTCCTCTCTCTCTCTCCTGTCTCTTCTCTCTCTCCTGTCTCTTCTCTCTCTTTCTCCTGTCTCTTCTCTCTCTCTCTCTCTCTCTGCTGTCTCTTTCCTCTCTCTGCGGTCACTTCTCTCTCTTTCTCTGCTGTCTCTTTTCTCTCTTTCTCTGCTGCTCTCTCTCTCCTGGCTGTCTTTCCTTACCTACACTGCGTCAGCTTCCCAGGTCTCCTCTCATGTGCGCTGTCCTATCCTCCTGTGTTGCTCGTGTGACCAAATGTGGCCGACGCTGCACATGGGGAGATGTGTCCCGCCCCTTCCCGTCTGCAGCATCTGACACATTCAGTTGCACTAGCACCGCGGAAGGGAGCTCAGGTCAGTGAGCCGATCACGATCTACCAGTGTTTGCTTTGCGATCGACTGGTAGATCGCGATCGACCTGATGGGCACCCCTAGGTCTAACACATCGTGATGCTGGCCATTGCTGTTCTGTTGCTGTATATACAACTCAAATTATAGGTCCAGTTTTACTGGACATTTGCAACAAACTTGGCCAGATTTACATTTATTGTAGGACCTAACTTAACGAGTGGCATATTTAGGTTAGCCCTATAGAAGGGGCATTTTATATGCAAGTCTAGTCTTGTTTACTATTCAAAATCCATTAAATATTAAATTTTAACTGAGTTGTATTGTTTCTAGGGTCACTTTAGCTGCTCACTGACTTAACTTAATTTGCGATGCAGAGTTGCTCTTTAATAGATGCGTTTCCAGGTCATTCTATAGACCTTTATGTGATGAATGGTAAGTTATTTATAGAGTGACTGGAACTGGATCACACGCACACCATTATTGCAGTTCATCTTGAAATTTTATTCTAGCTATATATCACTTCGATTTCCAATACACGGACTTGGTCAAATGGTTTATGTTTATTTACTTGATATACACACTTACATTTTTATTTACATGTCACATTCTTCCATGTGATTTATGGCTTTGTGTTTAGATGCAAACACGGGCCAAGGCACAGATGTTGCAAGCACTATGAAGACAATTGTATCTCTTACTGCATTAAGGTACGTTGACGACGTCCAAACATCCACGGGTTGGGAAGCGGTAATTGTAACAAGATGTACAGGAATCCAGCCAGGGGTGGCAGGCGTGTTTCTTTGAAGACCTATTGTTAAATGAAATATATAATAAAAATGAACAAGCAGACCTTTTATGTTATCCATGTACGCTTAGCCAAGGACCTGATCCAAGAGCATGCACATTATCACTGTTAATTGAGATAAGGCATTTAATCAATCAAATTAGTTAGAATTGCCATTAACATGACCTAGACTGTGAACTCACTTGCTGCTGTCTGCATTTAGCATACATTTTCTTCCAGTTATTTAAGTCCAAACTCAGGATGTTGGTCAACCTTACAATTGTCTGGAAAAATGGTTAAAGCAAAAGTATTGTCTTTTTACAGTTAATTTAGAAACACATTTTGATGTGGTTAGCCTAATGTAAATGATCCTGAGTGGTTATGAGTGTTAATACTTTTAAAACCTTGTTTCTGTGTATAAATACAATATATAGCCAAACGTTTGTAGACACCTGGGCATCATAGCTATATGAGCTTGTTGGGCATCCCATTCCAAAATCATGGGCATTAATATGGAGTATTATTATTATACAGGATTTATATAGCGCCAACAGTTTGCGCAGCCCTTTATAATATAAGGAAGACATGACAATCACAATTAAATTAAACACAATTAAAGACAAGATGGTAAGGAGGCCCCTGCCCGTGAGGGCTTAATATGAAACTGTTCAGTATAAAGCTCTACTATAGAATCTCATAGTAAGCTCCCTGCCCCTACACCCTTACTGTTTATGAACCTGCACCTTGCCGAATTAATGTCCAAACCTCCTTGCGAGTGTACCTGGTGAAGACTGGGCTCAGTTCAGACTCTGCACCTTAGGGCTGCCATTGGCAGCACGTGGAAATTATTTTCCTGTAATAATGGCGATTCCTCTTCCTTTAGGCCCTGGCTACATGACCAGGGTAAAAAGTCTTCTCTGTAAATGATGTTCAGACAGAGCCAGCCAATCAGTAGTTCAGCCTGAACAGTTTTGACATTAACCCCTGATGCCCTCCACATTAGCAGGGACCACATTGCCAGGTTTAATGTGGATACGTGTAAAGATAAGGCTTACAGCGGCCCTATTCTCTTAGTCCTTGATGCCTAGTCATTGCCCACAACATTCATTCAGCGAGGATGATGACTTTGGTGTCATGATATCTCAACTGCTGATATGGTAACATTACAGTTATTGTGGATAAGAGGCCGTGTGTCTCTTCTATTTATATTTGTAGTTGATGTATGAACGATATTGTTTTTCCAGGGGTTCGTTAGAATGTTCAGTGTTGGGTATTTGATCCAGTGCTGCCTCCGGATCCCGTCCGCCTTCCGCATTTTGTTTACAAAACCCTCCAGGTTATTCTCTCTGTTCTACAATAAGGAGAACTTCCAGCTGGGGGCTTTCCTGGGTTCCTTCGTCAGTATTTACAAGGTACGTAGGCTACAGATTTCCACTATTGTGCGTTTGGGTATTATGTTTTTTTATAAATCACATCTTTTTCAGCACATCTAGGAGACCATCTTATACATAAATGTGTTTTCTATGTAAGTAAATTATTATTTATTTCCTATGATGTTCAGCTCCATCTAGTGACCATAAAGTGGTATGTTCCTGTTTCTTCTAATGCTATGAATGACAGTCGACCTGAAAAGAAAATATGGTAATGTTAGTTTTTGCCCCCTTTGTACAGAACAACTGTAAATGCAATTTTGCCGGACAAATAGCACTTTTTTTTTATAAATACACCCCAAAGTGTATCTCAGAGCAAAATAAAAAAAATAAAAAAAAACACACACAGTATATCTCTGCAATACATGAACAATTTCACCATGACTTATCCCTGTTGATTTGCCAGAAATGCACTAATTTCCTAAGTGAAGAGTGGTGTCAGCCATGCCCAGTTTTCTTTTACTGAACCACTGTTCCATTTCTACAACATAAAAGCTAATTATTCTGTAGTCCCAACATAAGAACTGGGAGAGGTCAATAGACTCATTGAGAAAACAGTGTGTTCACAAAACACAGGACAACTCAGAATTTTTGTCATGATCAACGGGTATTTTTTGCCATTTGTCAAGCAGATGTCCCTACGCTCTGCAAAACGCTCAAACACCGAAATCCCAATATTTCCTATGGGCATGGTTCACACCTGGGCGTATTACAGGCCGTATGAATGCGCTACAAAACGCCCTACGCCCAAAGAAGTACAGGAGCTTCTTTGGGGCGTATTCATTGGGATAAAGCCAGGTAGCCCTCGGAAACGCATGTTTGTCGCACGTTTTTACCGCGAATCGCGGTAAAAACGCACGACAAACGCGCATATTCGATACGCCTAGGTGCGAACCCAGCCTAAGTGAGCACATAAGAGCAGTTAATTGTTAAGGTTTTCAGAGAGAAGAGACCCTGCCAGCCTCTGCACCTAAGGTTTCCTGCAATGGAAGAGCCATTGTATCCGCTATCTAGGGTGGCCCCTTTCCTGCCTCCCCTCTGTTCAAGCACTGTGGCTGGAGTGTGGGATGCCTGTGTGCCCTGCCACATGTTGTGGCTCTTTCCTCTGACCTGTACATAACTACAGGACTCAGCAGTGATGTAAGAGGTAGAAGAAGGAGCCACAGCACGTGGCAGGGGGGACACAGGCATCCCACACTCCCAGAAGTGTTGAATGCCAAAGACTCACAGAGGTTGCAGTGCACATCGAGTCTGTTTGTGTACTTGCCTTGTGGCTGCACAATCTGGAAGCTTGTCAGTTTGGTCAAGTTTAGATAGCCCTGACTTAGTTATGTTCAGCTAGACTTTTCGATGTGTGGATGTTTTCAGTAATGGATATTGGTGTTTGTAAAATAGGAAATTAAATGTTCTGTATTGTATACACATACTCTTTTTGTTCTTTCAGGGCACAAGCTGCTTCTTGAGATGGGTGAGGAACTTGGATGATGAGCTTCACGCCCTCATAGCTGGTAAGTCTTATGGCAAATGAATATATAATTTTTTTCTAATTCCACAGCAGACACTCCAGTGGAAACGCTAGTCCAATTTCCCCTCTGCAGACCAGTTGGTTCCATCGCCCTGAATCCCCCTCCATCCCTCCGGGGACCAGCTAGCCCCATTCTCCCCCCAACACGCTGGCTAGCACACAGGTTCCATGCCCCCTCCAAGGGGTCCACAGCCCTTACCCAGCACACAGTTTCCATGTCCCCTCCATGGTGTCCCCAGCCCTCCCATAGCAAACAACGCCCATGCCCCCTCCATGGTGTCCCCAGCCTTTCCATAGCACACAGGGTCCATGTTCCCTTTATGGTGTCCCCAGTCCTTCCCTAGCACACACAGTCCATGCCCCCTCCATTGTGTCCCCAGCACACACGACGGTCCATGTCCACTCCATGGTGTCCATAGTCCTCCCTTAGCACACAGAACCATACAGCCTATACAGGAAATATTAGACTTTTACATGCAGGCCACGCAGGGGTGAGTAAGCCTTCATAGCACACAGAGCAGGCTCAGCGTTCTCCTGTGGCTGGATGCAGCCCCATCACACGCCTCTCACTGTGACACCCAGGCGGCCTGTGAACGCTACAGCACAGGAAGCGGCTATTAGAGTGCAAACACTCCCACTGAGCTGGCCACATCCCACTCATGGCTCATTAGAGGTCAGTCCCTGGCTGAGGTCACGAGGAAGGGGCTCTGAACACTAGAGTGAAAAGCTCACGTTATCAAACTGTCCTCCGTCCATCTTTATGAAAACCACTCACATGACTTGGGATAACCTGGCGGTATCGGGAATCCTGAAGAGTGCGAGGAAGCCACTGTTGGAAACTGTGCCCTAGGCAGCTGCCTAGTTTGCCTAGCTGCAGCGCCGGCCCCACTACTAACCCTCAAAGAATCTGTATTTTGAGATCTCCCTCTCCCGCACCTTAAAATATTGCTGGTTTCTGGTGTTACAGCAAGTTTAAAGTGAACAAAAAGAACCTGCACTGTCACTACCAGCACAGCAGACACTTCCAGGACTCAGCACTCCGAGTCCCTGCTGTGGCGTGTTTCAAATATTGTCCAGCTTCCATGGTCAAAAAATGTTGCCCCCTCCAACCTCCTATGCTGCACTATTGGCTATGGAGAACAGGGTCAGATTTTAAAGCAGGGAAGCCAGACAATATTTGTATATTATCTCTCACCTTGTCTCTGCTTACATTGACCTGTTCTTGTTTCTTTCACTCTCTTCTCTTGTTTTCCCTCTCTCGCTCTACTTTTGCACTCTTTTTCTCTATGCTTGTCTCTCTCCCCTTCCTTTTCTCTTCCTGGTTTTTCTTTATTTTATTTTATTTCTGCCTTCCTTCCTCTTTCTTTCCTTCTCTATTTTTTAGTATCTACACAACATCATAAAAGCATTAAAAAAATATATGATATGAAAATGGCTCACCTAACACACAGATTGCCTCCAATTATTCACATCCAATTACCATACTATGCCATATTATAGAGGTAGATATCAAACCACATTTAAGGGTATATTCACATTCCACTGTAGTAAAGGTAATTGGATGGGATTCACTCAACACGTTTCACGGATGTATTCTGCTTCATCAGGAGTGTACAAGGCATTGTTCAGATAATTGGACCATCATGCAGCCAGTTGTACAGGAACATCTACCAAAAGTTTTGCTGGGCAGGGATAAGTGCAAGAAGTCCCTTCCGCCTGATTGCCAAAGACCACAAAATCATGTCATAGATAATTGGATGTGAAGAATTAGAGGCATACTGTGTGTTAAGTGAGCTGTTTTCATCATTTCATATGATATATGTTTTGTATTGCTTTTATGATGTTGTGTACATACTAATAAAATGTAGAAAACACAGTATACGTTGTCCGTGTGTGGATACCTTAAACATTTGTTCTGAATAAATCAAGAATAGATTGAATTACCCTAGGATGTCGTTCCCCTATTAACCAACCTCTCCAATACATTTTTGAACTTACTTTCTCACTCCCCCAGTTTCTCTCTCTCTTTCTCTCTCCCCTTTCTCTCTCCACTTTCTTTCTCCCCTTTCTCTCTCTCTCTCCCCTTTCTCTCTCTCTCTCTCTCTCTCTCTCTCTCTCTCTCTCCCTCTCTCTCTCTCCCCTTTCTCTCTCTTTCTCCC